GGAGCCGGGGGCGCGCGCCGGGGCGGAGCTCGGCCCCGGGCTGAGGAGACGGTGGCGGGGAGCGCCCTGGGGGCGCCTTTCCGCGCCCAGGCCCCGGAGGCCCCGAGAAGGCCTCCGTGGTCTCCGCGTACCGGCGACCGTGTCCCCGCTCCCCCACCGCCTACCTGGCTGGCTGTAAAAGAACAGCTCCTCCCGAGGTGGGGTTCAGCGGTCGGGGTCGGCCCCCTGCGCCGGGCTGGGCGGGTCCCCGAGCGGCGCTGAAGTTGGGGTCCGGGGCTGCTGCCTGCCAGTCGGGCGGGGAGGGGAGCACCGCCCCCGACGGCCTCGGCCTGAGTGCGCGGACTGGGGGCTGTTTTGAAAACGCTTAATGCTCCATTGCTAAAAATGTTTAATAATAAACAGGATGTCGCTACTCGGGGCCTGCCAGATGGTGGTTTTTCTTTTTCTTTTTTTTTTTTTTCTTCCCTCGCTTGTAAGAGACACCGCACTGTTGAGATTGTGGGGCTCTAAAGAGTGGATTTGCCACCTGCAATTGGAAGGCGTTTTTTCTTTTCTTTTCTCCTCTTTCTAAGTATCGTGGGAGGTCGGGGCCCACCTTTAGGCAAGAAGAGGTGTTTTTCAAGGCAATGGTGAGCTTGAAGGAAGTGGGAGAAGGGGGGCTGGGGACGCTCTGTGGAGTGTGTCATTTGCTAAATGGCTGCCTGGGTGAAGCCTTTAATAAAGCCCTTGGTTTACAGGACTGTTAAACTTTCCCTAAGATTTTTTTTTTTCCTTAAAGGTCAGTGTGCATTTGATGTGGGTTTGTACGTTGTCATCCAGTTTGGTTTTTGTAACCGTTCGTCTAAAGTCTTAGCATAGTTTCCCCGAAGCCAACTGCATCCGTGCAGCCAAGTGTGTGCATAGCGCTGTCGTGTGAGTGGGACTGGGGAGGCCCACGTTTCAGGGTGCAAATGCTGCTTTTGTCCCCTCTAAATCGAGCAATTCTGGAGCTCTCTTGAGTTGACATCGACATAAATAGGGACATTGTACCCTCCACCTTTAAGCGTTGGGAAGATGGTAGGGGGACTGGCATGCAGTTGGTGCTCAGTAGTTGTTCCTCCTATGTCTGCTTGTGTAACTGCTGTTAATTCCCAGGGCAGGCGTTAGCCACTTGGGGTGCCACCCACAGAGCCGAGCTGTGCCTGTGGACCACAGGTGCTGGCTGGCTGAAGGCACGGACAAGGGAGAAGGAAGGAATTCAAGGCACAAAACATTATTGCACTCTTATTCAGTGCTAGGCCTTGGTGGGGAGACAAGGCTGGGAAAGAGTGGCGGTTGGAGCCCTCAAGAGCTTGATAGAACTGGGCTGTGTGGTAATAGATCCCTGTCTTTGAACCCAGGGCGCCTGCCCCTTTGGAGCTGGGATTAAGGCAGGGCCAGAACAGTACGATGTACTCTGGACAACAAGCAGAGGCCCAGAGAGTCCCGCCTACTGAGGATAACTGCTTTTCTTTGGGATTGGCAGATAATCATTTGGGGAGCCTTTGCTTGTTCAGGCAAGTGTGTCTCTTGGAGTCTGAGGAGCCGGGTTCTGGTCCTCACTGGGTTACCTCTAAGCCTCAGCTCCTGTATCTGTAAAATGGGAATAATTATTGTCTGTCTTGGGTATCTGTTGGGGCTCTTGGGAGCTTCACATAAGATTATTAGCAAAGTGTTTCCATCTGTAGGAAGATAATGAAATCGTGTGTTGTTTTTGTTGGTTACCTATCTCTCTGCTTCCTTTCTCTTAATTCCTGACCTTTTTCTTGTTTTCTTGGTTGATGGCATTGTGATCTCCCCACCCCAAATTCTGTGTCCAGCAAATTTTTTGATGTCGTGACTATCGCCCAACTGCCTGGAAGCATCAGATTGCCTTAGAAGATCTAGGGAGCTCAGCCAAACTTGGGTGTCTTCTGTTTATTGGAGACCATGGAAGGACTGAGGTTAAAAAAAGGGGAGGCTGACCCCAGTCTTGGCCACAGGTGAGGACTGAGACCCTAGTTGCCTGTTGCCCAGACCTGTAACTTGTTGGTAAGTGGCCCTGGAGACATTCTGCTGGACATAGCGGTTCTGCAGTCTGGTGGGGAATTTATTTTGGTTCATTTTGGAATTCCCACAACTATCTTGGTGGTGGTTTTGTTTTTTAAATCTTCCGTGGAACCTCCTCCAGACCTCCTGGCTGTGGCACCTAGGTGTTTTAACAGGGTCATGTCGTCCTTTCATTTTTTCTCTCTTCCCACCTCTTGGCCCATCCTTTCAACCTGACTTCACTTGGGTCCAGTCTGGCTCTGGGCTGTTCCTTAGCTGGTTTCATAGGGAAGGAGACAGTTGGCTGCCCCCCCACCAAGATTTTTGATTACCTGTGAATGTTAGTTATCCATGGCCCAGTAATACTGACTGCACAGTCCTTGTCTCAGTCCATCCTGGGGGCCTCCCATCTCCTACATTGCTGGGGGCCCTCTCCAGTCTCCATTGGGCCCACATAGGTAAAAAGAGCCTGGGGAAGAGCCAGAAAACCTTGGGAGAGTGGAATTTCAGGAATGGCAAGTCAGAAGTAATTCCAGCATGGGTCTAGTTGCTTTGGGCTTGGCTGAGGGATTCTTGTTATGCCTTTTGGCATAACCTCACCTCCTCACCACCCCCATCCTCTTTTGAATTTCAGTTCTCTTTTTTTCTGAAGTGTTATTTTATTGTACTTCCAATTTTTTTTTCCGCCTTGCACAAAGTACTGACTCATGTTGCTAATGGCTGTATGCTGGTTATATGTCTCATTCTACAATTTAAGATTGATCCTTTCTCTGTTGATTTCTGTTTCAAACCGGAATAGGCTAGGTGGGCCAGTGCATGTATTTCTCAATTTGGTAATGAGGCTTCTGTACTGTCCAATGTACAAATCTTCGTATGGGCAGGTAGGTATCAATTAGGACCTGTCCTAGGTTTAAAAACAATGTGTTTCCCCCTGAAAAATAAAATTTCCAGCAGACATCTGTTGGGTTTTGTGCTCCGAATATTTTTGGTTTTTAAATAAATTCTGCGTGGAAAGGCAGGGCTAACTAGACTTATCTTCTTTTTAAATCATAACTCAATTTCTTTGTAAGATTCTTCCTGGGATTTGTGTAGCCTCAGAAAACCTTTAGTCTGGGGCCGGCCGTGGCTCACTCGGGAGAGTGCGGTGCAGATAACACTAAGGCCACGAGTTCGGATCCCATATAGGGATGGCCGGTTCGCTCACTGGCTGAGCGTGGTGCTGACAGCACCAAGTCAAGGGTTAAGATCCCCTTACCGGTCATCTTTTAAAAAAAAAAAAAAAGAAAACCTTTAGTCTGTCATTTGGACAAAGAAAGAAAGGCACTGCCTGTGGTGCTGCAGATGGGAGAGGGAGAGGTGGCAGATGATGAGCTTTCTGGTGAGGTAAAATTGTTTATGACAAGCTTAAGGTTTAAGGGTGCCATTTAGACTGGGCCTCCTCACCTGGGAGCTCGCAGACCTGGGCCTTGCCATGGGTGATGTCACTGTTTATAGCCGTGGGTGGCACCTGGGAATTCTCTTTGCTCTGGGAGGGAGGTTTGCTGTGGTGACTTGAGCTGGAGTTTTGGTTGAGCTTGTCCTCAACTGTACTTGTAGATATTCCCCGTGACCTGAGAAACATTCTTCTCCTGAGCCAAGGGCTCGGTGGTGCCTGAAAGATGCTGGCAGTGCCGCTGGTTTGTGAAGCTGTGCTTGCAGCTGGAGGTGTCTGTGGGCAAGATGAAGTGTATCTCAAGTTGCTGGTGGTTTTTCACATTCCCCCTCATTACTTCCTTCTGTTCCTACCTCTGCAGCCAGTTTTGTAGCTCCAGTCTGTGTCCTTTCTTCCTCCTTTCCAAGAAAATCAGCAGCCTTTTCCTCTTCGGTGTTGCAGAAGCAGTATTTATTGCATTTTTAATTCACGTGTCATGCAACAGATACTCTTTGAGCATGTGTTATTTGCCAGCCATTGTACAAGGCTCTTTAAATACATTTTTCCCCATTGATAAAAGTAATGTTTTCACTGAAAAAAGAATTGGAAAGTACTGAAAAGAATATGAAAATAAAAATACAAATCACCTGTAACCTCACCATCCAGAGAACTACAGTAAAGATTCTGGTGTGTTTCTTTCCTTCGATTATGTTTGTGTTTTTAAAATCGGAACAATACCAAATATATTGTATACACAGTTGATAGTTTGCTTTTTCCTCTTAATGTCATAGTGTATTTCTCTAAGCTGTTGAAAATATGATTTTTTTGTAATTGCCCAATTGCTCTTGTATGGATATGCCATGATTTATTTAATTCTCTATATTTGGCATGTAGGTTGTTACCCATTTCTCTATCTTATAAAGAAAGTTTAGGGACCATCCTTTTGTGTAAATCTTGGTTCATGTCACTGATTGTCTCCCATAGGTGGAATTTCCGGGGTCAGAGGGTGTGCAGGTTCATTCTTAGTTCTGTTCTGCACTGTCTCGGTTTTTCCTTCAGTCCTTGTCACCTTCCTCTCCAATTGAGCCCAAGATGGCTTCCTTCATGAGCCGCCAGATCCTGGGCATCTCAGTCCTGGTTAAGCCCTTTGATGAGTGAATTTGGGGTCTTACTCCATTTACTGGTTTGCGTCTGGACAAGTGTCTTAAACACTGGTTGTTCTGGAGGCGTGGAGATGTGGATCTCTGTGCCCTGCAGGCATTGCTCAGGAGCTCCTGGTCCAGTGGGGTGATCTCCTCCACCTAACATTGTCACCGCCCTCCCGTGATTCTTTCATAGCCCCTACTGCTTTTTTTTTATAGCACTTTTCATAACTTGTAAATACTTTTGTTTAAAACAATTTTTTATTGTGGTAGAGGATACTGTATGTAACATAAAATATATGATTTTTAAGTGTATAGTTCAGTGACAGTAAGTACATTCACAGTGTTACGCAACCATCACCATGTATCTCCAGAGCTTTATCTTTCCAAACTGAAACTCTGTCCCCATTAGGCACTCCCCATTCCCCCTTCTCCGGCCCCGTGGTAAGTACCATTCTACTGAATTTTTTTTTGTTTTTTTGTTTGTTTGGTTGGTTTTTGTTGGCTGTCCTGTGTTTGGGGATCTGAAACCCTGACCTTGGTGTTATCAGCACGTCTAACCAACTGAGCCAACTAACTGGCTGGTCCTTGTCTCTATGAATTTGACTACTTGGGTATCTCATATAAGTGGAATCATCCAATATTTGTCATTTGTGTCTGGCTTATTTCACTCAGCATGGTGTTTCCAAGGTCCATCCATGTTGTAGCATGTGTTAGAATTTCCTTCCTTTTTAAGGCGGAATATTATTCCATTATGTGTATATACAGTGTACCACATTTTGCCTATCCGTTCATCCGTTGATGGACGACACCTTGTAAGTATGGTTTTGTTTTTATTTATGGAATCGCTCTTCCCCTAGTGGGTGATTGCATGCACTGTGGAGCAGAATCCTGTCGCTTCCCTTTCACCACTGGGTGCTTGGTGTCCAGCACAGAGAGTGCACTCTGCACTCCATCAGCAGCACAGGGTAAGCTGTAGAGCTGTGTAAGAGGGTCCCATAGGAGCCCACTGAGAGGTCAAGCCCAGCTC